ACAGTGAATTATACCCCACATCTTTAAATAAATAAAAAGAACAAACACTTAAAAAAAAAAAGAAGTTACACCACTAAACGAACTTTCAGTTCCAGACTTCTTGACTTCCTGGCAGTCAAGGCAAAAGGGGAAATATGATGTGCTATTTATTTCTTGCATTTTGAGAAAAGAGACATACCTTTCCAGGAGCTACAAATAAGACTCTTAGAACAGTGATTCTCAAGTCTTATTGTGTATAAAAATTCCCTCAAATATTACTAAAAATGCAGAATTCTTGGCTTCAGCTCCAGAAATTCCAACTCCATAGTTCTGGCATAGGGCCCAGGACTCTGCATTATAACAAGCTCCCCCAAATTATTCTGACATATGTAGCCTCCTCCAGCCCACTTTTGGAAATATTGCCATAAAAATATATATATTTTTTCTTCTGAGTCGGGATCTCATTCTGTCTCCCAGGCTGGAGTGCAGTGGCATCATCATTGCAGCCATGACCTCCTAGGCTCAGGAGATCCTTCCACCTCAGCCTCTTGAGTAGCTGAGACTACAGGCGCATGCCGCCATGCCCGGCAAGTTTTAAAATTTTTTTGTAGAGATGGGGGTCTCACTATGTTGCCTGGGTTGATCTCAAACTCCTGGGCGATCTTCTTACCTCAGCCTTATATTTTTCCCACTTACTCATTCCTTTGTTCACTGTCCTAAATGCTGAGGTTAGACGAGAGAACAAGACAGAGAAGCTCTCTGCACTTGGGGGCAACTAGAGGAAGACCATTGGCTCTTCAAGTGGTGATCTCATGTTCTGCTTCTTCTCAGGGGCTGCCAAAGGGCCTTCTAGACCAGAGCTCTGTACTCTGTTCCATGGGGCAACTGCCACTTTATTTCCTAATCATGGTCCTTTTCAGTTTCATTTTGTGGTGACCAGGCCATCCACCTAGGCCCCGGATGACCCTGCCATGGAAGAGGTATAGCTGAGGCCTGTGGTGGGCACCTCTAGGGCTCTCCAAACCCTGCAACAGCCACTCTAAATGACCAGCTGTAGAGCACGTGATCGGGGTAGCAGCCAGGAGGCAGGAATGGAGACCCCAAGGGTGGATGTGGGCTGGTCAGGATGAACTTGGCTGTGGAGGCTTTAACTGCTGAGGCTTGAGAGGTGGTGAGACTGCTGTCAGGACTTCTCCTGGCTGTGACTTCCTGGCACACTCTGGGGTCCAGTCTCATCCTTCCGCCCAGCTCCCATTCCTCTTGACTGTTTTTCTGGGCATTCCTTCAGAACCCGGGACCCAAATCTCCCTTCTCCCTGCACCTTCCCACTTGGCCAGAGTGATTTACAGGCCCCACCTGCTGTTACTACTACCTTGTCTGAGAGCAGGCCCCTGTTTACCAAACACCAAGGAGCCATCAACTACCACCAGCTAATGCTCACAGAAGAAAGCCCAGAAAATGTGTGTGTCATTGTGGGCATAATTGTTTGTGAGCGTGTGTGCACATTTGTGAACAAGTGAGTGTGCATGTGTGTTGAGAAACTGGATGTACACATGGACAATGGCCAGGTCATGAATCAAATCAGAACTCTGACCCACAATTCACAGCATACAGCCTAGGAATTCCACCACCATTGTCAGGAGCAGGTCCTAGCAACCAGCCTGCTGAAAACCAAATTCACAGCCTCCTTAATCTCTATGTCCACTTGCAAGCTGGGAGAAGTTGAACATGCACTCCTGGCCAGTCACTACAGCCAATAACCAGACTTGCTGCTAGCTCCCCATGCCAACATTTTCCTTTCAGGTCATACCTGAGCGTTCTCTTTAATCCTCACAGAGCTTTCTCATTCCTCTGCCTGCCTTTGGTCTCTGCCAAAAAGGTAGCTATTGTGGCTGACTCCCTTGCTATAATAGCAAGCTCTGGATTAAATAGCCATAGCTTATTCTCATTTGGTTAGTCTTCATTAAAATTCTTTTTTATTTTTATTTTTTACTTGTATAGAGATGGAGATCTGGCTATGTTGCCCAGACTGGTCTCGAACTCCTGGGCTCAAGCGATCCTCCTGCCTCGACCTCCCAAAGTACTGGGATGATAGGTGCGAACCACCATGCCCAACCAGTTAGTCTTCATTTGTTTCCACAATGTGCATGAGTACGTGTGTACGAGGGGGAGTTTTGTGTGTGTGTGTGTGTGTGTGTGTCTAAGTGTGTATGAAGAATGAGTGTATGTGCAAGTCTGTGTGTTGGGAATGGTAAGGCCGGGATGTCAAGGGGACCACAGAGAAGGGAGCCTGCATTCACTGTAGGATTGCATCACTCATCTGGATTTTCTCCCCTAGAGTCTGTGAAGCCAGGGACAGGAAGCGGGGGAGCAGGGAGGAGGGACTGGCCGGGAGTTACTTCTGTAAGACATCCAATTGACAGTAAAAATCAGCCTCCTAGCCGGGCTCGGTGGCTCAGCCTGTAAACCCGCGCCTTTGGGAGGCTGAGGTGAGTGGATTGCCTGAGCCTGCGGGTTTGAGACCCGCCTGGGCAGCGAGACCTCATCTCTACAATAAATCAAAAAATCAGCCGGGCGTGGTAGCGCATGACTGTAATTCCGGCTACTCGGAAGGCTGAGGCGGAAGGATCGCCGGAGCCCAGCGGGTCGAGGCTGCGGTGGCCGGGAGCGGCCACTGCACTCCAGTCTGGGCGACGGAGTGAGACTCCAACTCAAAAAAAACCAAAAAAGTCAGCCTCCTTCTCACAAAGTACTAAAGAGTCCCTAGAGGCAGTAGGGATGCAGTGACTAGTGTCTTTTCCTGCCCCCCCCACCACGATGAGGCCTCAGGGCATATCCTAGGAACCAGACTCCTCTTGGCTGTCAGAAGGCCCATGGCAGACCTCAGAGTGACATTACCCCTGACTATGTGTGTGCATTCACTCTAAGTCTGGCACGTGCCTCACAGGCATGGCTGGGACTGAGGCCCTGACTTCTTGCCACCAATGCTTCAGGATTTAATCTGAGACCAGGTGCCCACTTGCCAAAATTAATGGTTGGTAAAATTAAAACAAACAGAGGTAAGTAGCCCTTTACCTACCGCACAGTCTCCCTGTGGTTTTAACTCCAGATCACGGAGGTGCTACCATTTTCTGATCAATGATGGTTATTTTCTTCCCTCTAAGATCAGCTTAATCATCCGAAGGGTCTTAGAGAGCACAGGAGGTCAAAAGGAAATTACACGGTTGTGCAAGCTTTCTCTGCAACCCGGGTTTATTCCACGCACCATGCTAGCTGACTTAGTGTCATGTTGCTCAGAAGCAACACTCAGCATGCTCATTGAAACTGTGGGGAATGACTTGGCCGTGCCACAGGGCTCCACGGAAGCCTAAAGAATAAGATGGCCTGTGATCCAGACCAGATACCCAACTGCAAAGACTTCCACAGTGTGCCGCTCTTTTAAAACGGAAGAAAAGAAGGGCTGCCCATGCCAAACACTGGCCTCAAGCCTGGGATCCACCAGTGGCTTTAATAGGGCATCCAAGACAAATGAAGAGAACTCCCACGCCTGGGGCCTGCTTCCTGCATGGTGCATCACAGCTGGAGAAACACTGGGCGCCAGTGCAGTGCTGGAGGGTCTGGAGCCAGTAGTCTATTCACATACTCAGCAAGGGCTTAATTAATAGTTCTTTCTCTTGTTTTCAAATCAATCATCCAGTTTAGCGCACGTCTATTTTCTCCCGCTGTTTGATCTGTATTGTAACCTAAGTTGCAAAAAGCATATTTTATCAAGAGTTGACTTAATTGCCAGTTTAAAGCATTGAAATGCATACTGTAAATTCATTAACAAACGGATCTTTCCATGAATCACCAACCTAGTTCTCCTGGATAAGAATTGAGATAAACAGTGACTAATGACACTGAAAAGCAGCCAGCATTACAGAAGAAATTAACGGCTGTGTCAGGGGCTGAGGAATTCCAGTCACCCGCCCCCCGCCCCATCAGCAGGAAGTGGTGACTCAGACAGCGATCTGCAGGGAAGGGTTTGGAGATGAGACCATCAGATGCCCCAGTGCTGCTCCTTTCTACTGCTGGTGCCTCTCGGCACCACGATTATGAAGCTGCATTCTGTAGTGCCTTTGCCCTAAGTCAAGACCTGGGGAAGGACTTCAAAGAGATCCCCAACACACCCTAATCGCTCCTGTATGCTAAACTCCTCCTTCCAGCTTTGCTTCTGTCAGGTAGGGTTTCCGTCCTTGGTCCACTTCAATTCAGTCCTATTCTGTTTGTTCTTAACAATCTCTGAGAAGTTGATTGTCATGCAAGAAGGAAGAAGGGTGCGATGGACTCTCTCTCACCCCACACGCCCAGAGCATCTTCATCCTTCAAATGGACACCTGAAAAGTTCATTTATTTCTGGGGAAGTGGGGCAGAGCAATCTTCAGGCATGGGTGTAGCACTGTTCTTTACCTCAGATGGTCCTTGGTAGGAGACGGGCATTCAAGGACTGAGGGAGGAGGATGCACATGGCTGAAGAGGAGTTGGTCTGACGGTTTTCTGATGGTGTGGCTGACCCTGCTGTCTGGGCTGTGCTGTCCAACACGGCAGCCATCAGCTATGGGGAGTTATTACAATTTTATTCAAATGAACTGAAATTAAAATTTCTGTTTGTGCTAGCCTCGTTTCAGATGCATAGTAGCCAATGTGGCTGATGGCTACTGAGTTGGACAGCGCAGATTTAGAACATTGGACAGCGCAGATTCAGGACATTTCCATCATCGCAGGAAAGTTCTGCCAGACAGCACTACCCTAGGCTCCAGGAAGCCCCAGAGCCTCACCTGGGGGATGTGTGTGGTCCAGGACCCCCAGATCTGAATGACATCTGGGACACTGTTGCCATATGGGGTGGGGAGAGGGAGTGTGATTTCAAAAGATAGAGGCCGGGACTCCAAAGGTCCTGGGAGGCGTGCTAACTGAATCAGAGCTTAAAGAGCAACTTCTCTTTTGCAATCCTTGCTGGTCTGACAGGCTTCTGCAGAATTACATCACTTCCTAAAAAAGAGGCAAACACCTCTCCTTCAAGTTAGCACCGACCCAAACAAGCAGGAAACAGGAAATGTTCACGTTTCAGGGAGGCTGCAGTCCGGTGCAGCATCCTGAGTGCGCCCAGGCGAGCTGATATGCCGGGTCCCCGCACCACCCTGGACTTCACTCTGGTGCCCTCGCTCGCTCCCGACAGCAGGGGTAAGCCACCTCCAGCTCCCCACAGCCAGGAAGGAGGATAAAGAAGGCTGCAGGGTGCCTGAGGCTGCAGAACTCGGCTGGGGAGGGCAACACCCCGAAAAATCTAATCCTTTCTGTGAAAGAAATGGGAGGGCCAGGGGTAGTGGAGGGTGGGTTTTTCTTTCACAACAGCTGTCTAATCTGCTCCAGCTCTCTCATTTGATTTAGCCCTCTTGTCAGCTCTGTCTTTTAAGATGTGTGCGTCCCTGTAATTTACCGACTTTCATGGGCATATTAAGAAAGCCATCAACACTTGGGCAGTTCTTATAAAAGAAAGTTTCCATCGGCTGAAACAGAGAGATAATGAATTTGCTTTTAATAGTGTGGGCTGAGAATTCTGCCAGTTCCAAAAGCATCTGAGAAAACCGGAATATGGAAATTTACTACTAGAAAGCATACTAAAAAAAAAAAAGTTAAAAAAATGTAAACAGGAAATTATCTGACAAGTTACCAGGCATTCACGTTAACATGTCAAGTACAGTCTTTCATCTGCTTTTCTTTGAACTTGTTACTTTTAGGGATTTTGTGTGTGTGCATAGATTGTTAATAATGAAGGTTTATTTGAAAAAAGAATATGATTGTAGACAATCAAAGGTATTGGAAAAACCAAAACATTAAATCTCATTATTATTATCTCAATTGTTATCTCAATTGCAGCTAACAGCACCAATTGATTTATACCTTTGACAGTTGCTACAACACATGCAATCACCCTCAATTGCCTGTTTTGTTGACTTGTGCTTGGGTAAATAAACTCGCTGCTTGTGGTTTCCAATGAATAATGCTTGCTTCTAGTGCTGGGCAGTATTTCAAGCAGAAGGAAAGTTCTCAAGCCATAGTTCTTTAAATAGGATGGAGGACATCAGGCATGACCTAACAGATGTGGCAGCTTCCTGGAGATCAGTAGCCAGCAGCCCCCACCCCATCAATTTCTCTTCCCCTGCTCTCCCCTGGTCTCCCCATGTGTCTGAGGTAGAAAACAGAAAGTGACAGGCAAGCCATTCCATTTGAAAAGATGTTTGGTTGAAATGGAGCTCAGTGTTCAATGTGAGTCTGGAATTGATGTGTTATTGTCTGCACCAACTTCGGAGCTGGAAGGGAACTTGGAGATCATGTGGATCAAGCCATACTTGGGTCCAAGTGAGGAAGCTGAGGGCCAGGAAGGTGAGATGTCTAGGACTCTAGTTAACTCTTCTGACTTCTATTCCAGTGTCCTTTTTCCAGGGGTGGAGAGGTGTGGAACCAATAACTCTGCCAAGACCTGGCACCTTCCTCAGTAGATAGCTCTCAACACACAGGGAAGCAAAACTAGACATCTGTCCCACCTCCACCTCTTCTACTAGCTCTCAACATTACCACTGGGGCTTTAAACGCTCCCTTGAGAGTCATGTTTCACCTGGCCTGAGCATTTTCTTGAGCTTCCCCCACATGATTGACTCCTGGTGTCTGTGATTCAGGAGACAAAAGGAGACTCTGAAGAGACTTGGTGAAAGTTTTTTCTGACGCTGGATCTGATCGTGGACATCTACCCCTTAGAGACCTTCTGTTGCTCCCCATTCCAGCTCTCTGGATTCTCACTTCAACCTCCTTTCGGGTGCCATCTCCTTCAGGGTGCCCTCCCACTCTGTAGCCCTTGGCTGTGATGAATGCCAAGTTCTCATTCCTAGTTACCGAATTCCTTAAAAGGCCCACACTAGATGAGCTCTCCTCCTTGGTGTTCCCTTTCAGTCCCCCTTCCCTGGGGCTCTGCTTACACCTGCCGCAGGGTTCCCCTAGACCTAAACTTTTGTTAATGCTGCTGAGCGCTTTAAACCATAGTTGTGTGTCTGATGGTATCTCCCACTTAGAGTGGGCAACTCCAAGGAAAATCCTCTTCAGTTCATCTTTGACTTCCCAAAGCCCTGTAAGGGCTCAGCATAAATTAGGAGGACAGTAATTGCTGATAAATACTAACATCACCCTAGAATGGAGATGAGACAGACCACTAAAAACCGACGAGTTCCTGAAAACAGGAGGTGCTAGAGTGTCAGAAGTTGAAGATAAAAAGTCATGCTTCAGTAGAGTACGGGGATTGTCTAAATAATCAGACACATTTATTGGGTCTTGCCTCGATTCCCAGTGTCTGAAAATACAAAAATGTCCATTTGCCAAAAACTGCTTGAAAAATCATATTGGCCAGGTGTGGTGGTGGTTCACACCTATAATTCCAGTACTTTGGGAGGCCGAGGTGGGAGGATTACTTGAGCCTAGGAGTTCGAGACCAGCCTGGGCAATAAAGTGAGACCCCATCTCTATTAAATAAATAAATAAATAAATACAATATTAATTTGAGATTAGTCAAGGGAAATGCTATTTTAAATTAAATATTTAATTTTTAAATTAATTAATGTCTATCTTTTTAGTTAATAATGGATATGTGTTTGTTTATAGGTGTTTGTAGGTGTCATACTTGTATTTCCTTGAATTCTTCAAAAAATATCTGAGATGATTGTTAGAAGAGGTCAAGCTACTAAACAACCTGACGGTATCACCTGCAAACATATTCTGAGATATATCCCAAATTAAGCCTTTATTCACGACAAACAGGCAGCATCAAATAATAACTACAGTTGCAGGAGACTAGCACCATTCCATCGAAGTTGGCGTCTCTTCTTCTTATTTTTGTTTTGTTTTTTTTTTTGAGTTGGAGTCTCACTCTGTCGCCCAGACTGGAGTGCAGTGGCCGCTCCCGGCCACCACAGCCTCGACCTGCTGGGCTCCGGCGATCCTTCCGCCTCAGCCTTCCAAGTAGCCGGAATTACAGGCATGCGCTACCACACCCGGCTGATTTTTTTGATTTATTGTCAAGATGAGGTCTTGCTGCCCAGGCGGGTCTCGAACCCGCGGGCTCAGATAATCCACTCACCTCAACCTCCCAAAGGTGCGGGATTACGGGCTGAGCCACCGAGCCCGGCTCTTCTCATTATATAGATAGGTAGCCTGACACAGAATTGAATACTATCCCATGTGGAACAGTTCACTTGGAAGTCACCAGGAGAGAAATAAGAAGGTGGCTGTTCTGGGCTTTGATTGTTAATAAATGGAAGAGCATAGTTAAAGGCCATCTTGGGCCTGGGTATCTTGGCAGATATCGGATCCTGAGAAAGTTCAAGCTCAAAGTGACACTGCCTGAAGTGAAGGGGGGCATTCCCATCTCTGCTGTCTTCCCTCTGCCCTGTCAGTGTTGACTTGACACTACCAGAACACCACGAGCAGCCTCCCAGACAGCAAGAGCTCAGGGTCTATTGGCTGCTGCAGGCAGAATGGTTTGTGGAAGGGAGCGCTGAAGGGCAGGAGACAGAAACAAGGACTCTGCCACTGTTTTGTGGTCAGAGTCAAACACAGGATTTAACAGAGAGAACTGGAAGGCTTTCTGGGTTTTTCAGAAGAATAGGAAGAACTGTGTAATTATTACATGATTCTTGAGAAGGAGACAAAGAATGGAAGAGAACATTAGTTGCAAAATTCAAGCAGCACTTGAATCACATCTCATATCTCGTTTCAATGAATATGACAGCCATCCGCTGCTTTCTGCGCAGCCCCAATTTTAAGTATTCATAATAATGATATAAGAATAAATAACGGGTTTTAAAAAATAATGATGGCTAACATGAGCAGTGCTCATTATATGTCAGGCACTGCTCTAAATACAACATATGTCAACTCACTTCATTCTCAAAACAACCTTAAAAGGTGGGTGCTATTATCCCTGTTTTACAGTTGAGAAAACTGAGGCAGAGAGAGGTTAAGTGACTTGCCCAAGGCCACACAGCTAAGTAGTGTATGTAAATTTCTGGGCCAGGTGTAGTGACTCATGCCTGTATCCTTAACACTTTGGGAGGCCGAGGAGGGAGGACTACTTGAGCCCGGGAGTTCGAGACCAACCTAGGCAGCATAGTAAGACCTCATCTCTACCAAAAAAAAAAAAAAAGCCAGATGTGGTAGTCCCAGCTACCTGGGAGGCTAAGGTAGAAGGATTTTACCTGAGTCTGGGAGATCGAGGCTGTGGTGAGCCATGATGGTGCCATTGCACTCCAGCCTGGGCAACAGAGTGAGAGTGAGATCCCAACTCAAAAACAAAAAATAAGTAAGATTCTGCCTAGGACTCTGTGCTGTCACTGTGCATGGTATTAGCTCTGGGTTTTCAGGTTCTGCCAGGCTATGTGTCTAGTTTTGGGTTTAAAAAATAATGGCTCTGGTGCCTTTTCAGCTGTCAGTCATTTCATAATTCTTGGCTGAACTTGAAGGTTACTGCATGTTAATAACAAATCTGCATGTGTTCGCACTGGGTCAGAGATTGACTGACAAGAAAAAGAATAATGAGAGTTGGGTTAAACTTCAGGGAAGGGAGGAGCGAAAGAGGGCAGAGTGAGCACATGAGCATCTGGGGATTAGTATAGTTAAGACCAGAAGCAGGAAAAGTGGAATGATGAAGCCACCAGGTAGGAGGCTTCAGGGTATGGGAATGAGAGGGAGAAGGAATAGCCTTATGTAGGGCAGAGTCATTCCAGAAGAGCCCAGCAAAGAACTGAATCCAAGACCCAACACCCCCAGGGACCAAAATAAAAAATAAAAAACAGGCAGAGATGAGGTTTAGTACTTGTGTATCTAGAATTCAGAATCCCAGGAAACCAGAGGAGGGAAGATCTTAGCTGGGGTGGGCTCAATTCTGTAAAGAAACAACACAACCTGCAATCTACCTACCTGTGTGGCGTTTGTACCACCCTCAAATGTTGGCAAAGATGTGTTGAACCGGGAACTCTGCACCACTGGTGGGAGGGTAGATTTGTGCAACCACCTTAGCTAGCCTGTTGATGAATCCATCCATTGGGTTTTTAATTTCAGTTATCATAGTTCACATTTCTAGAAAATATATTCTTTTTTGATAGACATAATGCCTTGGAGTGTTTTTTTTTCCCCCT